CGTCCCGCGTCTGCTTCCCAGGCCAAATTCCAGCTGTCGCTTTTGTTTTATTATGTAACTTTCTCAAATTCCTCCAAGTCTCATTCTGGTTTTTGAGTTTTGCAGCCGGTGACGCCGGGTATCAGGCTCTGTACCGGAAAGCGGAGCTGCCTTGCACTCTAACGCCAGCATTTCCCCTACGGTAAAGGCTCGTTTTTTGCCGGTGTGAAGGCATCACGCTTAACGATCCCGGTCTAGAACTGCTGAGCCTGATTCTTCTTCTGGGCTCACTCACAATTAACGAAATGATGGTCACTACAGCTTGGGCTTTGCTGCCTCGCCAAGCAAGTGCAGATACGTGTAACTCCTGAAGAGGCTGAGTTGAATTTTGCTGGTTTTGCTGTTACCAGGTATTTTCAGACCACAGAATAAAAGCCTGCAAGTAGCTTCTGTAGGGTGGCATGAAATACTGAGTGTCCTGTAGAAATCTTGCTTGTGAAGGAGACCTCACATGATTGCAGTTACAAAAAGCTGTGTTTGGTCTGTTGTTTAGACCAACAGAAGGGTAACCAGTGCTTCAGGAAATGCATTGTTGCAGGGAGGTTGAAATAAACAATTTAAGTATATGTGGTTGGGAGTAATGGAATAGTAGGAACAGAAGTTCCAGAAGCTCACAAAGTTTTGCTATTGCTAAGCAAAGCTTGTAGCTTATCTGGATGCTATCTAAATGATGAATGAGCAAGTTGAATGTTGCACTTGTGCGGATAACTTAATCTTGAATGTTTTGATGGTTGCTGGAATGCTCAGGGAGCACTGGTGTTTTACCATGTGGCATTTTCCTTCTGTATTTATTGAGGAGCCAGGGAAAGTACAAATTACACAAATATTGAATGTTGGAAAAGTATGAAAAGCCAAGGAAGCTGAGACATCTCTTTGTTGCTGTGAAGAGTGTCTGTGTTATATCATTCTAGCTAGAGGTAGTTTCATCAAGCATGCAAGGAGATGCTGAGACAGTAAAACTTCTTTTTCTCATTAAGGGACAGCTATGGCACCTGTTCTGAATTGAGATGAAGCAGGTTGGTATCTGAACAAGGCAAGGCTTATCTATTGAATGTTTTATTCTTCGAGAGTGAAAGTGGGTAGTTTGAGTTGTGCTGTTGGAGTGAGGATAGTATTCCTGGATATTGCTGCTCTACTCTGTAGCAAGTATTTACTCTGTTCCTTAGGTTATCCATGTTTTAAAAATACATATAATTACCTCACTGGAGTGGTGTTGAAGCCTAATTATGTGTTTTATAAACAGTCTGTGATCCTCTGGTGAATGGGTGGATGACTTTTTCCTTTCCTGTAGTGTGAGGAAATAATGTTCTATGTAATTAGTTTGTTTGATTTTTTTGGTGGCACAAGCAATTGCTGTGCCACTGCTCTCAAGTATTCCAGATACGTTTATTCATTCTTAGGCTGACTAGCTTATAAAATATATCAGCATAACTATTTTAAACTTGTAAGCATGATCCTCAGTATTCCAGTTAGAAACTAGTCGGTAACTTTTTTAAAAGTAACTTCTCTTTTTTTTTTTTTTTTTCCTTGTAATGTTGTGCTTTTTTTAACTGAATGTAAGACAAAAAATATCTCTGGAGTCTGTCTTACTACAATATGTAATAGTTTTTAATCTTTAGTTAAAAATAGTGTGGATAAAATTACATATATAGCTTAATTTTGAATGTCAAAAATTCTCTCATTGATTTATATGAAAACACATTTTCTAAAAACATGTACAACTAGTATATTTCTGAGCCTCTAATAATACAGCTCCTGACTGAATCCTTGTGGGAGGCAACTATTTATAGAGGTCCATTCATTAAGCTTGTCATGCAAGAATGCTTTTGATGTGTTCCCTTGAAGCAATGGTTTTATAAATGAAAGAGATGACATATGCTATATTTATGATTAAATACTTAACTCTTCAGAACCAATTTGATTCTTTGCAAAGAAGTTTGCCATACGTTTTCTGTTAGGAAGTATCCTGATTAAATTTCAGTTATGACTGACTTTCTTGTTCTGTACAAAGTTCATGTTAACTTGCCTGCCTTAATTTCTGACTTTTTGTTTGTTTGTTTCATAGCAAATTTCTGATTTATGCCTGCCTGCTGCTTTTTTCTGTGTTACTTTCTCTACGTCTGGATGACAAAATTCAGTGGAGTTACTGGGCTGTGTTTGCTCCCATATGGCTATGGAAGTTAATGGTGATCGTTGGTGCCTCGGTGGGAACAGGAGTATGGGCCCGAAACCCACAGTATCGGTAAGCTGAGGATCTTTCTTTTGTGAAACAGAGGCAACATAAGGTGTTTTCCATGCTGAATTAAATTCATAAATAGTTTTTCTAACAGTTTAAGGTATAGCATCCAGAAGGTTTTAATAGCTGGAACTTAACAATTGCAAGCAAAGTGTCTCGGGATATTTGCAGGATAGTGTGCTTCCTTATTGACAAGTGAATGGAATGCTTCCTTATCCTCTCTTTAGAGCAGAAGGAGAAACCTGTGTGGAGTTCAAAGCTATGTTAATTGCAGTAGGCATCCACCTGCTACTGCTGATGTTTGAAGTTCTGGTGTGTGACAGGATCGAAAGAGGAACCCATTTCTGGCTTCTGGTCTTCATGCCATTATTCTTTGTGTCTCCAGTGTCGGTTGCAGCTTGTGTATGGGGATTCCGACATGACAGGTCTCTGGAGGTAATGCTTCCTTTGTTCGGTGTGAAATGCAAGACTATCAATTCAGTTACAGTTCATCTCTCAATAAAGCATGATATGGGTGACTGCATGAGTTGAATTAATTGTTTGCGCTGATCTGGTAGAGTGAAAAAACAGGATTAGGAATAATACATTTTTTTCTGCTATCTTCTAGATTTTTTTTTTTCAGCTACTAAATTGCAGCATGTTTTAAATCTGACTTTTATTATTGTGTGTTAACTCACCACAAACTGCAGTATGGGCTACTATTAGACACTTAAATGGAGATTACTGAAGAAAGTCTGCTGATAGGAAGCACTGTCCCTAGGTAGAATAGAACTTCCAGAACCCTAGATAATCAGGGTTGAAAATTTCTTACTATCCCAGTCTCTGTGCTTAATCTTGAAATTGGGAATATAGATGGTAAGCATGAACCAGTAGGTTTTTATTTTCTGCCTATATCTTCTTTCCTCTTTAACTTTTTAAATACCAGGAAGGTCTTTCTTCAGGAGACAGCTGCCTCTACACTTACTCTGGGTTCACAGCCTCCCAAATTTAGGGATGCTTAGTAATATTTAATATAAATGAAAATGATGTCCCGTATTGCAGTGATAAGCATGGAGTGAGAAAAATCCTTTGACAGATTCTTTGGTCATCTTGAAACTATCCTTATTATGCTAGGAGTTAACTAATGTATTTTCTTTTTTCTAGCTGGAAATCTTGTGTTCAGTCAATATTCTACAGTTCATATTTATTGCACTCAGACTAGATGAGATCATCAGGTGGCCGTGGCTTGTATGTAACAAGTGTTTTCTTTTTATCGTTGTTTAAATGCTGAATTTCATAAAGATGTTTACTATAGGGAACAGTTAATGTATAATCAGAGTCCATGATCACAGTTTTGCTTGCTTAACAATCCTTCCCTGAAGGTTTGGCATTTCATTTAGTGGTCATTGGAAACAGAAGCTGTTCTTCGGGCACTTCACCCTTTGAGGGGAGAGGGATGTGCCATCAACTGCAATTAACCTCTGATCATTGTTGAAAGAGAAATCCTAACCAAAAGTTTCCAGTGGGAACACCAAACTAGCCATGAAAATGATTAGTGAGTTAAGGAATGGGTTGGTAAATATCATTGTAGTAAATAATTACTTTAATTTGTTGTGTTACTGTGCATGTAAATCCACTCATTGTGCAAGTGGTCAATACTTGTCAGAACTGCCAAGATCTCCTGTCCCAAGTGCCTTTAGGATACCAAAGTGCTGTTTCTGTGTCTGGGTTTTTGTAAACTATCAACACTGATAATCTGGCATCATTATGACTGTCCTTTCTATTTTCCAGAAAAAACTAGGAAAAGTATCTACTTTAGAAACTGTTACAAGTAAGGTGTCCAGTGTAGAAAATACCTGCTAAAATCAATTTAAAGTACTCTTTGAGCCCACATAAAATCATCCAAGTCTTATTATAGTTGAACTACTTTGACTTAATTTTCAATTATTTCAGCTTGATGGGGTTTACAGACCTAACTGAGGAACACCAAAGAGCTGATATGACTCATAACAGTGCATGGGATTTGTGAAGCTTTTCTGTTAGAGATTGTAATAGTTAAAGAGCATTAGACTTAAATGTCTTCTTGTTTAGACTTAATATATAGACTTACTTTATTTAAAAACCCCACACCTGAAACAAACCCAACTCTTGGAGGTGGGGAAAAGCAGTTAACTTCTTTTTCTTTCAGGTTGTTTGTGTTCCGCTGTGGATCTTGATGTCCTTTCTGTGTCTAGTAGTGCTCTATTACATTGTATGGTCTGTTCTGTTCTTGCGCTCTATGGATGTGATTGCTGAGCAAAGGAGGACACACATAACAATGGCTGTCAGCTGGATGACAATTGTTGTTCCACTGCTCACATTTGAGGTAGGAAAAAGCATAATGAGTTTTATGTATCTTGCTCTTTTTTTGGTGAATGTTGCTGTGTCTCTTTTTGAACTTACTAAAATGAGACTACTGCTTTTTGTTTTGGAATAAAATATTAACAGCAAATATGAAAGAAAACTAAGTTGTCTTTTTTCAGTAAAATATGCATCATATTGGAACTGTAACTACATGTTTCTGTGGAGGCCTTTTTTCTTCACAGATGGATGAAGTTAAAGATCTGAGATCAGCATATGTTTTAAGAAGCTTGGAAGTGGGTATTGCAATTAAACTGATGCTGTGTAATTTTTTTTTTTTGCCATATAGATCTTACTAGTACACAGACTGGATGGGCATAATTCTTTTTCTTTTATACCTATATTTGTTCCTCTCTGGCTTTCACTGATAACTCTAATGGCAACAACGTTTGGACAAAAAGGAGGAAATCACTGTAAGTATTTAAAAATCATGGAAACAGTGTGAAACTCAAGGCCTAAATGTATTTCATTAAGATTTGTCCTTTCAAAAAGGGCTTTTTTGTATATTCTCTCATAAAATAATTCATATATGTCTGTCACTATTGTTTTCAGGTGACTTTAAGTTTTCAGTGTTTATAGTGTCTCTTGCTTTCATTTCTTACTTCAGAGTAACTTCTGCTTGGACTCAACTTGAAATCTCAATGGGATTTTAATTGTCACTTGACCTTTTATCCCTCCTTATTTTCATGGGTTTCATTCTTACTGGATCTTTCTACTCTGGGTCCTGAAAATAGTGTAGCATCTACCATTTTTAATTAGCATTTGTTCTAGTAGCCTGAACTACTAGTATTCTCTTTGGCCAATCAGTACTTTGTGCTGCTCAGTTGTAACTTCAGTTGCCCGAGTGGCCAGTGTAGATTTACTGGGCTTTTATCCCCGCCACAACTACCACTGTCAAAGGGAGCATTTGCACTTTCAGCCATTCAATATTACTGAACCAGTGCAGATGAGTAGCTGTTCCTATCCACATTGCAGCTCATGTTCCTTGTTGACAAGGCAATAAAATTTGTTAGGGCTTTTCAGAGTTGAAAGGAACCAGCTGTGATGTTTGTTATATCAACTCACTTCAGGCTTTATCTGATTGTGAAGTATATGGAGAATTTCTTTCTTTGGTCATGACTAAGCTTATCTCCATACATTTAGTTTCCTTTTAGATTGTTATTGTATGGAAAATTGTTACTGGTGATTTTTATTTATTGTTTTGTTTTAAATGCATGTCCTCAATTTATGGCCAAATTAGTCTTTTAGAAAGCCACGTGTCCATTTTATCTTCTGTAGGGTTAGTAAATATTGATGTAAACTTTTTAAAAAGACTATTCATTTGAAGTGAGCCTCAGAACACTTGTATGAAAATACACCAGTTGGCCATGAAGGATAATCTCTGCAAAAAGATGGGTTGTATGGGATCTTCCCTGGCAAATGCTTAATACCTTCCTTTTGTTCCATGTGAAAGATTTGATGTGGGCAGGCTGATCCTTGTAACACTGACTTTTGATCTTGGTTAATAGAGGAGTGCCATCTGCTGAATTACAAGTGCTGCTTCCTTAAATGCTCTCCTTCCACTTCTTTGCATATAGCAAAATACATGAAAAACACAGCACATGTACTGTTTTCTGATCGAGCACATGTAATACCAAGGATGGGATACTCTGTCATCACGCTGTATTTGGCTAACAACAAAAGTATTTGGGGAATACTGCATACATACATTTAGTCATCTGTGTCTATGCTGTCACATTCTCTCTGGTATTGTAACTCATATCTATCAAACAACAGTTGGCATGAATGTCTTCCCATGGGGCACTGATTGCTTTGATTGAGATGCAAAGTCTTTTGTGTTTTTCTCTGTGTACTGATGTGACCTGACACTGCTTAACATGTGAAATGAAATGGATGCTTGCTGTGGTACTATAGCTGTAATTTATACATGTGGATATACACACACATACATGCATGTGCAGACATGCAGGGGCATGCAAATACATGTACACATTCTGTATGTGTATCTGAGTGTGTGTAATCTGAAATGTAATGTTATATGATAGGCGTAAGTAAGGCACAGCAGCACTAAGAGTTTGTATTTTTCATATGAAAACACCCAAGAGAACTTAAATGAGATTGCATACTCTGCCTACTTAATTGAATTTTCCCATTCTGTTCTGCAGTAATGTGAAATTATTTTTTTTTAGGGTGGTTTGGAATTCGCAAAGACTTTTGCCAGTTCCTGCTTGAAATTTTCCCATTCTTACGAGAATATGGAAATATTTCTTACGACCTTCATCATGAAGATAGTGAGGAAACAGAAGAAACACCACTGCCTGAACCACCAAAAATTGCACCAATGTTTCGAAAAAAGACTGGAGTGGTCATTACACAGAGTCCTGGAAAATACGTGATTCCACCTCCCAAGTTAAACATTGATATGCCAGATTAAAATGACAGTAGAATATTAAACTGGAACTGGGAGTCAGCAGACTCAGCAGAGTATTTCATCTCATGCCTTGTCCCAATTACTTTAAAATAGGTATTACTGAATCAGTGGCTTGGATTACACAAATCAGAGTTCTTGAAGATAATCTGAGAGCTTTTCTACAGATACGTGGTGGTCTAATTTGTGAACCTTCCTAACGCGTTGGTTGCACGCTTGCCTGTATAGTATTTATATGAACATTTTAGCAGTGTAATATATTGTTTAAAAGTTTCCTTGTGTACAGTGTAAGTATTATCTAAAAGTATTTTTTTAAAAACCCTGTATGAAATGCCTATGCTATTCCAGCTGTCTCTTAGGTCTTAAATACACACTTTATTTCTGTGTGTGTTTTAATGCTTTGAGGATGTCTTAGTATAATACCTCTCTTTTGTTTCCATTTCTGTTCAGCCACAATCATTGTCTTAACCACAGAGGCACAGGAGTCTTGCACTTCTCAGGCAAGACTGGAAAGCTTTTTGGGGGAGAAATAGAATGTATAGCAGCTTACATGATGTTTTTGAGTTAACGATATACATTTTCATGTAAGTATTTCAACTTCTGCACTGGCTTGGGAGTTAAGTGTTGCTTTTACAGTTTCACGTTTGAATTCTTCTTGAGCAGAGTGTACATCATTCCCCATTAGACTGGCTGTTTAATAAGCTGTTTCCTTGTGTGTTGTGTGTGCAGTCTCTGCCAGAAACCTTAGCTGTAGGTTTTACAGCTGTTTGTTAGCTGGTATAAATACTGTAGCTTGGTCTTCATTACCAGATTTATAAGAGTGTTGGTGTAAATGATTAAACTTTTCAAGATAGGAACCCATTGGTGTTGGTATAGCATTTTCTTGTTTGAAGAAAGACCTCCTTTGACAGATTGTCTTGGATTTCCAGGAGCTTTAGAGAAATTTAGTCTTTGAAACCTATACTCCAGTAGCTTTTAACAACGGCTGTCAGACACTCCCACATCCTTGCAGCTGCTCTTTGTGCTTAGGTGAACACACAGTTTCAGTAGCTGAAATACTGTGGATTGTGTGTCCTTAGTGATAGCAGGGCCCTGAGATAAGAGCAAAGTGTATGGACATTTCTGCATGTGTGAAAGGTGTGCACCTGAGAAACTTCAGACATGTGGTGCTTTCATTCCTAACACTGCAGCCCTCCCTCTTCCTCCCTGTGGACCATCTACTGTCTGAAATCCAACACAGAACTGTCATATCACCGCGCTTAAAATTTCATTGCAATTTTATTTACTTTTTGTCTCTAGCGTAAAAAAAAAAAATAAATCTGTAAATGAAAAGCAAGAAGTGCTATTTAGCACTTGCTGCTGTTTCATGTCACTAGGAAACGGATGCTGCTCTGTGATGTCATGGCAGTGCAGCATGGGTATCATAGCGATGTTTGAGAATTTTCCCTTGGGATTCTCAGTCAGCTGGTCACCTCCTTTCAGCTGGCTGGCAGGATGCTCTAGCTGCTAGGGTTCCATTGAAAAACTTTCTCAAACTGAGAAACAAGAATTTAAAATGGAGCTTTCCACACTGGAAACTTCATGTGATTCTGTTCTGGACAAGGAAGTTGATTCATCAGCCTCAACTTCTCTCCATCCAGTACATGACAAAAGATCAGCTAGTGATGCTGCCTTTGGACCTCCAATAGAAGAAATGTCTTTACAAACTTCAACTAAGCAACACTCATCAAAAAGAGAACATCTGAATTCCTCTGAGGAGAGCTCTAGCAAAGGCGATGCCTCCATGTGCCTCAGCTTTCTGAAGAAGCTCTGGGATGTTGTTGAAAACGATCGGTTTGAGTCCATTCGGTGGGGGGACAATGGAAAGTGTGTAGTGATTCATGAAGAATTGTTTGAAGAGGAAATACTAGCAAGGAGAGGACATCTGAGAATTTTTGAAAGCGAGAGCATGAAAAGCTTCATTCGCCACCTCCAGATGTACGGATTCACCAGAAAGCTGCCGGACCTTCCAAAATCGGGCTCGTGCAGTGACTTGCTAGCAGAAGAAATGGCCAGGGAGGTATGTTGGGTCCTCTGTGTGCAAACTAACTCACAGACTATTCTAGTGGGACAGAAATATGAATTTCATATTTCAATTCAATTTCATATTTCAAAATTCAATTTCAGTGAAATAAGCCTTTACTACACAGGAAATGGGAATGGCAGTAAATGTTCTGTTTGTTTCTCAGTTAATGTTAAAAAGTTTTTGATGTAGCATTTCTGAGTAGTAGAAAGAAATGTTGATAAACTATACATTGGTTATTTCCAATTACTTTGAACACACAAAATGAAAAGTCTCCTTGTATCGGGATTTTTTTTTTGCATTTGTTGTGTGTTGCTGCACCAGCTGTGTGGTTTTCTTGCAGCATTTGCTGAAGGCTGAGATGGTATGTGTTAGTATCATGTAGTTACCTACATGTTCATTCCATGCTAAAGTTGCTGAAAAGCAATGGTATTTGGGATTCTGAATTGGTTTGTATGCCTTTGAAAACTCTACACTTGTCTGCTACCAAGCAGCAAAACCACAAGGCTGGTTACGACTTCAGAGGACTGTATTGCACTATTTTATTCAGCCTAAATTTCAGGTTTAAAACACCCCTGATAGTCCACATTTCTCTTCTGCACTTAAAATTCTTAGTTCTCCTGTCTTTGTGGTTTCCAGTCGCAAGGTAGTGGTAACTAACTCTTTTCCTTTGTATTTTTTAGTTTCACTTCTACTACAACCCAAATTTTCGAAGACATTTTCCCCATGAGCTACTGAAATATAAGCAAAGCTTTGGTCCAAAAAATCCAACACCAGCAGGATTTTCACTGGACACGGGTGTGGAGGCACGCAGCCGGAAAAGAAAACACGAGGCTGAGCTTTTGTGGGAAGCCACTTGCGAGGAGGAGAGCGGTCCCTCCACAGCAGCTCCCAGGGAGGACGACGTGCACAGCTCTGTCCCTGGGAAGGTCCCACCTGCCAAGCGACGTGCCAAGGCAGCGCCCCGAGTCAGACGGGCCTCTGTCCCTGCCCGCCTCGCTGCTCTGAAAGATCCTGGCCCCGGGGCAGCAGGAGGCCGGGAGCAGCTCCAGCCTCTGGCATCCACCCTCCTGCCACAGCGCAGCAGCTCTGGCCCGGCTCGTGTCCAGGGTGCTGCTTCTGCTGCTGCTTCCCCGGGTCCTGCCGTGCCCCACAGTCACCTTCCCCCAGGGCTGGCACCTTCCACCTCTCCAGCTGCACTGCTTTGTCCCTGCCAAGGCCACCTCGGGGCCAAACTCCACCATAGCAGCTCTGCCTGACGAGCTCCAGGCGATGGCCTTGGACCCCAGCCCGGGGCATGCTGTGTGCCTTCCACAGCTCTTTTGGAAGTTTCATTGTCTAAGGGAAAAGAGTCTCCTAAGTGTTCCAATAAACTATCTGAATACAAAGTCTCTGCTAGTTGTCCTGTCCTGTTATAGCCATGCTCCAGAAAGTCAAAAGGATTTTCACTGGAATGCAGGGTGTGAAGTTTGAAAAACTTAAAAGTGCCAAAATCAGTGACTTTCCTTTGTTACTCTTCACTCTTGTCTTGAATTCAGTATTAGCTTTTGAAAGCTTACTAAGATTTTTTTCATCTTAAACAACAGAAAGAAATATTGTAATACTTGCTCCATTTAATTTTGTACAAGCCCCTTCTTTCCAATCAAGGCCTTTCCACAAAGGCTGTTGGGTTACAGAGCTGTATAGTGCAGGCTGCTTCCCCCATCGCGTGTGTAACCTTTGTTCACAAGCTAGCGGGGCTCACTGACAGAGCTTTACACTAGACCTGAGGGGGATAATATCAGGCTTGCCTGTGACAAGCTGTGGGATGACACACCAAGGTCAGAGGGATGGGGTGCTAGTGAGGGCCCTCAGCCTGCTCCTTGGAGATGTGCTTGGTGCACTGGAGCACAGCCGAGCCTCAGGGGCTCCTGAGATTATAGGAGCCAATAGGAAAACACCAGTGAAATACTGCAAAGGAATTAAGGGGTGTTCCTCTAAGGTTAATAATTTCCAAAAATAGCCACAAAAATCACATCTTGTTTATTTTGCCTCAAAAGAGCAGTTCTTCAAGTGTATGTGCTATTTCAAACAATTAGTTTTGGAAGGGAATCTGAAACAACTCGCTGATATTCAAGATGCTGACTTGTGAATTACGAGTTTGCATTTAGGCAGGAAAAAGAAGTGAGGGGCAACAACTACACTTCTGAAGGGATGAGTTCTTCAGGGATGTCCACCTGCCACACACCTTGTCCCCCTCTGGCAGGAATTGGTTCCAGGAGCCATCTTGGATTTGAGACAACAGTCAAATATTTCTGCTCTAGATGACCAAGGACAGCTTTTTTTTCCAGCTCCAGAATCTTTTCAGGAGGCAAGTTTTCTGGATATAGTGATGTCTCTCCAATGTCAATTAATCCTGTGTTATAAAATTAAAATATAAAATTAACTGTCTGTTTGATCTCTTAGAGAAATTTTCCAAAAGTAAACCAGCCAGAGGACAAACAAAACAGCTAATCTGTTACCAGAAGAACACAGTATGAAGCACATGCACCTCAAACTAGTGCCATTCACTGCAGAAGATTGCCTGTGTGACTGAACTTAGGTCGAAGAACAGGTAAAGCATGCAGTTAGAATATTCACAACTTGGTGATCGAGAATTCTTTTAAAAGAAGCCTGCATCTAAAAAGATACTGCTGCTACTAAAACTCCTGAGCTACATTTGGCCTTGAAACAAGCTCATTAAAAAGAAAACTCTCTCTGCTCCTAGCAGGACACTATTCTATTATAATTTTAAAATTATTAAACTATATGGAAATTCCTGCTCTCTGGAACCCTTTTATTGTCACAAAAGGGAATTTCTAGATTGCTTAATGATTAAAAATGTTAAAATAAAGATCAAAGAAGCTTTGATACCTGCTCCACAATTAAGCATGCAATTTATGTCAAGGTTACAAATCTGCATATTGCATAGTACCTAACAATTTCCAGCACTGAAAAACCGGGACAATTTTTCAGTGTATGTGATAGAAACATTTTTTTTTCAGGAATAGCTAAAAATATTCAAATGAAAATGCAAAATAGATGGTGTAGCAAAAGATAACCTGTAAGAAAAGAGTGCAAAATGAGTGCTGGATAAAAACTTGGTCAGTATACAGTGCAGCAACATACATTCTACTTCAGCACAATAGAAGCAGTGAAACACCACTCCATCCTAACTTTGTGTTACAGAAACAAACTTCCTCACTGCCCAAGTAACAACAGTGATGGAGCGTTTGTAGAACTGATACAGGATTTATTTGTGTAATACTCTTAACAGGCAAAGCACTGCATTGTCATGACTTGACTACGAGTACTGTGAAATAGTTTCAGCAAGAGTTCCTAAACTCAAAATACAAAAAGTGTGGAACTGACATTTATTATCATGCAATAAAATAATATGCAACCCACCTTATACTATCCTACTACATGACGAGTTAGCACAAATCAATTGTATTTCTTGTACAGACATTAAAGTTGTAGCCTAAAGATTTTAGCAGAGTGAGTGTCGTTCAAAAAAATGAGGCCTGACTAAAATTCTTTATCCTAAAGGTCAAAGATACATCACATTTGCAACACAATGAAAAATAATAAATTTTAATTACAACTTCCCTCACAAGACCTCAGCTTGCAGTGCTAAGGACCGAAACAGTCCCCCAGTCGCCACTCAGACACCAGTCCTCCAAAGGAAGCGTTAAAGCCATGTTACCACGAGCATAACTGTGTAAAATAGACATGTATTTGACCAAAGCAAGCTAGCGGATTGAAACCTCTCTTGGAAAACATAATCCAAGGTTGCTTACCTGCAATAACTCCTCTGCCAAATTTTTCCCCTTTATCCAACAAATCTTGCACTTGTTCTGGTGTCATACCAAACCTACTCAAGAGAATTGCTCTCCATGTGTCATCTTCCCAGTCCTTAACAGCTATATGAACCGCCACGGTGCAGTTCTTGTAGGCTGTTAGCAAAGGACGCCAGCGAGTCTCCACTGTTTTGACTTTGTTTAGAACTAACCCAGCGTAGGGCTGTCGGAAGGAAAGGCAGCCGCATCTCATGGCGTCCCTTGCATCAGCACCCCTTCATTTCCTACAAACCAACAGACACCCCGAGATTAGTCTTTACAAACGCGTCTGTCACCACGACAAACTCACCGATCCGCCGGATCAACGCCCTGATCGGAGCTCAGGACGCTGCGATCGAGCGACCTGCCCGCTGCCTCCCGCCAGAAACCACCCCGGCCTCGGGGGTGGCTGCAGCG